CGCCGCCCGCCGCCTCCGCCCCGCCCCGGCCTGCTGCCCGCGCCCCTCCAGGCCCCTCCCTGCTGGCTGAAGGTCCGGATCCCCTCTCCCGTCTCCAACATGATGTCCCCAGATCTAACACTCAGAGGCAAGTTCGACCTCGGAGGGAACACCAGCTTGCCGGGCGCCCTAGGTTCCACTCCCAGTTCGCTAGCTGTGTGACCTTGGGCCAGTGAATTTCGAGGATCCTTCAGTTTATAAAGTGAGGCAGCATCTCAGAGCTGCCACAAGACTGTAAACTGCAACAGATTGAGGTACTATTTTTAAAAGGCTTGTGGATCTGGCCTGAAATTGATGGAGACAGGAAGGGACTGTGAGCGCAGAGTGGCGACATAGGCCAGTCCTGCCAGGCCACCGGGAGGGGCTGGGGGCAAGCTGCTGCCCGGTCCTTCCAATCTCGGCTTTTTCCTTTTCTTTTCAAATTGTTTTGATTGGCACCGGGCAGAGGAGCAGCTAGGCAGGCAGGAGAGGGGACCTGTCACGGTGACTGGAATGTGGACAGAAGACAGGCAAGCCACGGCAGGAGAGCCAAGGAGAGGGAGGGTGGCGCTTGTCAGGCCTGACTGCCAAACCCCCCTCAAACCTCCAACAGGCCCCACCAGGGAGCTGGTTCTGCAGCGCCACCTGGTGACCACCGGCAAGCTGCAGCCAGAAGGTGACCTGAGGCCCCAAAAGAAGTGCACCAACCATGACCCTTGGTTTCAGCTGTTTTATTTCCAACATATTCCCGGCCCAGTGGCCCTGCAAAGTCCAGCAGGAGAGAGGCGAAAAGGGTAGGGCCAGCCTGCGCCTCCGCCCCTCCCTAACTTAAGGTCACCTCCTCGGGCTAACCCACACCGGCAAGGACGACGGTCTCGGGAGGCAGTGCTGAGAGGATCGTTGAAAAGAGCAGCAGCAAAGTCCCCCAGCCGGGGCAGGCACACCATAACTAGGGCAGGGTCCAGCCCGGACTGACCCAGGACCCCTCCTCTGCACAGAACTCTTCTTCCCTTCCCTGACAGGGCTGGGATCCAGGCTCAGTGCCCGAGCAACCGCAGCATCTCCTGAGAATCCACCAGCTTCTCCCGAGGCTTTCCAGAGTCCCGGCCCCGAGACGCTTCCTCAGCATCCAGCTTCTCCCAGTCTGAGAAAGAGATTGGCTGGATTCCTGAAGCAGAGGGGAGATAAGTCAATGCCACCACCTTCTCTTTCCTTCCCCTTCCGGTACCGTCCCCCTACTCGCAAAGAGTGGCACCACCCATCCCACCTCCCAGAACCTTGGCCTCAGGGCCCAGACCTCGGCTGCTGAGCAGGGCCTGGATGGCTGTGTAGCCAGGCCTGGGGCCAGCGGGGAGCAGCCCGGCCTTCAGGTCCTGCAGCAGCGCCTGGCTGGTGAGGAAGCTGTCGGTCATGGTGGTAGCAATGACACCTGTGGGTCCCGTCTTCACCCAGCCACTGCAGTAGAGGCCTGGGGGGGGGGCAACAGGGAGAGGAGGGGTGACTGCACATTGCCTGGCCAGCCTGTGTCCCAATCTGTGCACATGTACACGCAGACATACACCCCCGATCTCACAGCGGATCCCATCGGCTGGGCCCCTTATGTCCACTGGCTGCTGGCCTGGATTCTCCCCAACCTGTTCTTACCACAGTGTCCCTGCTTATATTGTGACCTTGTCCACCTCAAGCTCAGTGGCTGCTGCTATTAATTCATTCATTCATTCCAATGAATGACAATTTTAATGAATGAATAACAGGTACATGGGTACTTAATCAAACTGGAAGCTTCCTATGACAGGGGTTGCTTTATCTCCAACCCCAGTACTGAGCACAAGGGCTAGCACAGAGCTGATCTCGGTGAATGATTACTGAAGGACTTAATGATCAGACAAATGTCCTACATGTTCCAGCTGGCCTGGGGACGCCCCCCTAGGGCCAGAAGGAGGGTGGGCAGGGTCCTGGAACTGGGCCTGCCTAGAATACCTGCCCAGTATATGTTACTAGAGGGAAGAACAAATGAATGACCCCAGGGACACCGGCCTTCCAGCCTCCCACCGTAACTAGGTGTCCAGCTTTGCCACATGCTCTCACCTGGCGCATCCACAACCCGGCCCTCTGTATTGGGGATGACCCCGAGTTTGGGGTCAAAGGGCACACTGGGGTCGATGGGACGGCTCTTATACCCAACACTGCTCAGCACCAGCCCACAAGGGAGGTCCTCCGTCTCTCCTGTGGGCACTGCCCGGGTAGCCTCACCAACACCCTGTTGGGGAGAATGTGGGCAACACCAGGCCGGGGTGAGAGGCCTGAGAATGGGGGTGTCTTTGGGTAACAGGAGACTCACCTCCAGTCTGGTAACTGCCAGGCGGATGCCTGCCACCCGCTGCCCATCTGGAGAGGGCAGCACCTGCTGGGGGCTTCGGAAAAAGCGGAGGCCCCAGGCACGGGAGGCCGAAGCCTGCCGGGCAGCTTCCTCCGCCCCCAGCTTCTCCACGGCCGTGCGAAGCAGCAGTTCTGTCAGCCGCTTCCTCGGACGGGGGACCTCTGTCAGCAGTGCAGAACATCTCAGGCTGTTGCTGCCCTGCAAACCCTCCCCAAAGACTCCTGGGACCTAGGCCAACCCCTCCCCGTGAGCTGGGGGCCAGGTCGGGCCCCTCACCCTTGATTTTGTCCTGGAGGCCCAAGAAATCTGCAGGATCCAAAATGGGCCGGGTTCCTGGTAACTGGATCATCTCCCGAAGCTCCTTGTGGTGGGGTGGAGAGTAGGGGGGAGGTCAGGCTCAGAACACTGTCTACCTGAGCCCACCAGAGTCCAGCCCAGGAAAGATACTGGCATGGAAGGCACAGGGCCGCAGGGCCTGCTCCCCCTTCCATTCCAGGCAGCAGCTGCTCCCATCCCAGAGCCTCCGCCCCCTCCACAGGAGCACCCTCTCCTTGGGTACCTCCCGCGCCACTGCCACCCCAGTACCTTAATGGTGAAGGCCACTTGCAGGGGCCCACGCCTGCCCACTATCCACACCGTCTTCACCTGACTCTGCCTTAGCACCCCTAAGGCAGCTTCCGTGATGTCTGTTTTCTGGCACAAAAAGAAGTCCTTGAAATCATGGAACACTGACCTAGGGACTCTCCATTTAGTGGTGTCCCTACCCTTAGCCCTAAACTAGAAGGCTGGCAACCCAGAACTGCACTACTGCCCTCCCGTGGTCAGATGGGGCATTGCTGCCAATGCAGCAAAGAGCTCCAACTAGTAGCAAACTAGGCCCTGACTCTCACCCGGCAAGTACTTACAGAGCATCTACCATGTGCCTGGCACTGGGCAGAGGGGCGAAGGGGAAAAGGTAGTTTATGTGAGCAGAAAACATATGGTGGTGGCCCTCACAAAGCTTCTTATCCATTCTTATCAATGGATCTCATCAATGAATAACATTGCAGGGGTGATAACAAGCTATGCATGAAATAGAAGTAGACTGGTCTGTTAGGTGAAGGTATGACAGAGGAAACAGACCTATTCAGCCCAGCAAGGCTGCCTGGCAACCAACTGCCAGCCAACTAACTGGCAGGAGTCAAATGAGAATGTTCCAAGCAGGGGGAATGGTGTGTGCAAAGATCCTGTGGCACAATGAAGTTAAGTGCCAAAGGAAAGGGAGCCTTGGTGTGGGCTGAGGCTCACAGGGCTGCCTTCCAGAAGGCTTCTGCCTGGCCTGGCACCCTCGGGAAACTGAGCTACGGGAGGTAGTGGGAACCCACCTCCAGCTCCTGACCTATCACTTACCTCCAGGTGCTCAGGGGGGGTCAGCAGGATCCGGGCCACATCCAGAGCCACGTTCCCCTGCCCCAGAATCACAGCAGTGTCACAGCTCAGGTCCGGTGCCAGCTGATGGAGAAAGGTCTTAATAGATCCCCAGCTTGCTCCTGTCAGCCTCATCTTGTCTGCAAATGTCCCGTGCCCAGCCCCAGCCACCCGCTCACTGGTGAAGTCACCCTCCCTGAGCCATCCATCCTTCCTGACCCAGCCGCCACTGAGGTCCTCCATGATGGATCTCCAGCCTCAGTCGGCTCTGTATCCATCTCTTCTCTCTCTCCTGGCCACCTCTTCTGTCCTCTCTGGCATCCAGCGCCACCCTAGGCCCTGGCAGAGGAGTAGGGAGGAAGAGGAAGCAGCAGTGCTCCCTAAACTCACCTCTTGGTTCTCGGGAAGCCCGTTGTACCAGCCCACAAAGGCCCGGGCTGAGCACACGCCAGGGAGCTCCTCACCGGGGATCCCCAGGGCGCGGTGGTCCTCCGCCCCATAGCTCTGAGGAAAGCCCAAGCCCAGAGTCTTAGCGCCTGCATGGGGGACAGTGCCCAGACCCTCCTGGCTCCCTTCCTTCCAGCAACTTCCATCATCTGCGCTCACCAGCACCACGGCATGGTAGGCCTCCCGCAGCTCCGGTACCGTCACATCCCTGCCCACCACCACGTTGCCCCGGAAGGCACAGCGCTCAGAGCGGGCTGTCTGGGTAAACGTGTTGATGACATTCTGCAGGGCAGGTCCAGAGTATGAGGGGTTAGAGGGTGGGACCATGCCAGTGCCACCCTCCCCCCTTATCCCACAGTGTCCCCGGAGTTTCTACCCAGCCAGGGAGCCCCCTGCCCTCATTTTGACCAATGACAACAAACGCCACCCTCCATGCCCAGGGAGACCCACCTTCACCTCAGGATGGTCGGGCGCCACCCCGAAGCGCACCAGCCCGAAAGGCACGAACTGCTTCTCATAGATGTCCACTTGGGCCTGGGTGTGGTGCTGGGGGAGAAGGCACAGCTGCTGGGGTCCTCTCTTCCCCAGACAGAGTAGTGGGCTGAGGATACAGAAGCCTCAACCATCTGTGAGGACAAAGACCGCCTCTCGACTCCCCAGCTGCCCAGAAAGCTGGAAAAGGGGCAGCCCCGGCAGCAGCAGAAGCTGAGGTCAGACCTCAAGAGGGACTACCAGCTGTGAGAACGTGAGAAATCTGGCCAGGGAAAGAGGATCACAGTAACCCTCTCCAGGACCTGGGTGCTGGGCATGTTTCATCTACTCAAGTTAGGCATGACCCACAGCCCCGCCCTCCAACCCTTCCTTGTTTTCTAGAAAGGCCCAGCTGATGACCTGTAAGCCACCCTTTGAAAGGCCAGCGTGCCTTAGCGCTTGTCTCCAAGATTGTCACACTGCAACAGGGACCAGCAAGATGGAGTCGGGTACAGAGGGAGGTGGTGATGGGCCTCTTCCTAGTCTTAGAAAAACCACCTCACTTTCTTGCTCTAAAACCTTTCCTTGCTGCAGGACAAAGCTCTAATGCACAACAGGTGGTCAGCTCCTAACACAACCTGACCCTGTTGCTGCTATCTCTCATTCTCTCCTGCTTTGTGCCCTTCGCTCCGGGACACAGGGCTCCCTCCCAGGTGAGCTTCATACACTTCCTTTAGCCACACACTGACCTCCTGTTCTGGAAACCTCCTCCCTCCCTCACCTCCCCGCTTAGACTCCAGTTGTTCCTGCTCAGACTTCTTTTCCTGTATCACCTGGGTCTGTCTCTCTCCCTTCTCCCATCTACATCTGTCCCCACGCTCCAAACCTGAGACCCCAGGACACTGTCACCCAGACATCCTGAATCCATCCAGATGAAACCAAGGCCTTACCCCCAAACCTCTCCGCTTCTGCTCCTGTGCTCCCTTCCACCCATTCCACTCAGAGCCCGAGCCAGAACCTGGTGCTTCTTTTTTTTTTTTTAGTTTTTCTCTGGTACCGGGAACCGAACTCGACCTTGCGCTTCCCAGGCAGGCGCTTTGCCGCTGAGCTAAATCCCCAGCCCCCAGAACCTGGTGCTTCTTGCTTCCCCGCCTCCATCCTACCCTGTCAGACTCACATCTTCACCCTCCCGCTCCTCAATGAGCTCCAGGACACCAGCCTGGCTGTGTCTACCATGCAGACAGAACACCCCAAATTTTGCAAATGTGGTCCTTGGTAGAGGGTAGCTCAGTAGTAGAGCACTTGCCTAGTATGTGCAAGGCCCTGGGTTCCATCCCCAGCACTGAAAGTAAGTTGGGGAGTGTCTTGGGTCTTGTCTAAAGCTCTTTAAGGAAGCCATTTACTTACAGTAGTGGACACCAGAATCTCTTAGGGTACTAATTTAAAGTTGCCCATTCCAAGACCCCAGTCTTAGATTAAATCTGGACTGGGCCCAGAAATGTTTGTTTATTTATTTTGTTGTATTTGTTTGTTTTTTGAGATATGGTCTAAGTTACCCAGGTTGGCCTTGAACTTTTTTTTTTTTGTCTTTTTGAGACAGGATCTCACTATGCAGTTCAGGTTGGCCTTGAGCTCACTTTGTAGCCCAGGCTGGTCTCGAACTCCCAAAGATCCTCTTGCCTCAGCCTCCTGAGCGCTGGAGTCTGGGATTACAGGTGAGTGCTGGGATTACAGATGAGTGCTGGGATTACAGGCATGTGCCACCACGCCCGGACTGGCCTTGAACTTTTGATCCTCCTGCCTCAGCCTCCCTGAGTAACTCAGCTTACAAGCGTGGGCTGCTACACCTTGACAGAAATGTTTAATAGGTCACTCAAGGGACTCTGATGGGAGAGGAGGCTGTTGGACAGCAGCCTGAGAAAGTCACCCAAGTCCACAGCCTGACCAGTGACTTCCAAGGCCTCTGGATCTGGGTCCTACCTCTTCCTCAGTCTAGTTTTCTCTCTCTGCCCCTCCTGCACACATCTGCCTTCTGGAGCTTGCTCTTTCCTTGGAGGGCCATTCTCTCCCTTCTCTGGCCTTTGTCCATTGGTTCTCTGTGTCTGGGACATTCCTGCCATTCCAACCCATGACCTGACATATCCACTATCCTTCAGCTGCAATTTCTTTCCCTCCCTTTCCCCCCAGTGTGAGCCTGAAACTACCCTGTAAACCGATAATCTTCCCCCAACGCTGGAATGTGAGGCCCTTAAGCACAAGAGCCACCCCTGTCCTCCTCACCCCCGTGCTCCTAGTGTATTCTGTGCCTGGAACATGTCGGTGTCCAGTGAGGACTCATGCATGATGATGACCAGGCGGCCTAGGTCAGATTGCAGTGCTTTCCCTGCTCTGTAGTGAGACCTCAGTCAGATCTCCCTCCATCTTCGTGTCCTCGTCTGTGAGCGTCGTGACACGGTGCCACAGGTTAACATGATGGGACTCAGTGCCTGACTCAAGCTAAACGGTACCGCCCCAAACGTGCCCATAGCTTGGAGCTCCCAGTGGGCAAAGACCAACTGATAACCGGCCTCTGTGTCCACGCCCAGCCCGCAGGGAAAGCACATGCCTGTGTCTACAGGCCAGCAGCTTGCCCGCAGAGGAGCACAGAACCCTGCCTGGAAGGCCTGCTCTCCCCCTCCCAGGGCCTCCTTCCCAGAGCCCAGCCTGTCCTCCCATGTCTGCGGCCTCGCATTCAGGCTGACTTCCAGCACGAGAGAGGCCCTTGGCAAACCTGTGGCCTTCAGGGCAGTTCAGATGCACTTTCTCCAGAAAATAGCTTCAGATTCACCTCCACCAGACTCAGTTCACTCTGCTTGCATCATTATAATTAGCTCGATCATCTGTGTTGCTTGAGAGGCATTCATATGTTACTTTTCAACAGGGACCAACCCATCCCTGTCTCCATGAGGCCATCCTAGTTTCAGCACGAAAAGCCCATGACCCAGTTAAACCAGGACAGCGGGCTACACCATCTTTCAAGTACTTCCACACATGTATTATTATATATTCATTCATTCTTAGGTCCCACCACAGACATTCCAAGCTCCTCCATAGCTAGGCCACTGTCTCATCTCTGTCAACCTAGGTCTCCTCGTTCCCCTCCTTCTCAAGGTCTGAGTGTATCTGGCAACCTTGGAGCCCTGCCTATCCGCCTGTCAAGGTCCAAACAGAAAGTTTTGGGACCTTGGCCTTTAATGGAGGAAGAGAGGAGGCTGGGGGACCTGGCGGGGAGGTAAAGTTACAGAAAGCTAGGAGAGCGCTAGCCTCAGGATATAGGATGTCAGAGACAGAGGAGAAAGAACGGATGATTAGGGAGAGCAAAGTCATCCTGCAGGTCTGCATAAGCTGCCTGGACTGCTTGGCCAAGAAAATATAGCTGCCGTTCTGCCACTGGGCACCAACTCTGGGGGCAAACACAGTGGGAGTCCAGGTGTAGGTGAGGAGGCAGGTGGGAAGTCTGCAATCAGATGGGGGGGTACCTCTTCCCCCTCAGGCAACCTAAGAAAGCGGGGTTTGCCCTTAGGACTGGAGCAACAGGTGAACAAGGGAAGGAGGCTGGAGGAAGTGGCTTACCTTTAGCAAGTGTTGGGCTGTGTAGAAGCCGGCTGGACCACTGCCCACCACACAGATCTGGGGGGTCGTCTGAGTGGAGAACTGCTGGTGGAAGCCTGGGGCTGGGCAGAGGAAGGGAGCAAGCTCAAATCAACACCCTCTCCCCAATCCCAAACCAATTTCAGCTTCCAACAGGAGATGGAGCTCACCAAGTGTCACCCCACCTGCACCTCCCTTCTCTCGTTCCTCAAAGCTTTGGGTGTGCAGGGTCCCTTACCTCATCTGAACCCCTGAAGGCTTCGTCTCCATCCAGAGCTCCACACATCATCCAGGAAACCACTACCCTCATAGCCCTTCATGGCATATCTTTACTTTCCTTAGGGGGTTCCCTATCCCATCGCTGTTATTCCTCATCTTCCCACAGGTTGCCTACCATCCCAATCCCGCCCCCGTGGATCTCCCCACAACGACCCTATCTTGCCTTTTCTAACCCCTCTCTGCAGAATCCTACATTGCTCATATAGATCCTTTTGGCCCCAGAGGTCCCTATTGTCCACAGAATGTTGTCCCATTCACTCGGTCTCACACATGGCCTTCATGGTCTCTTTCCACCTTTGCGGATCTGTCTCAGCCTAGAGGCCTCACACCTCACCGCACAGGTCCCCACCTGTCCCCTACACCACCCCAACTCGTCCTCGTGAATACTGTACACCATTCCAGCCTTCCGCTCTCCAGCCTAGCCCCAGCTCCGCTCGGACTCTCTCGACTTAGCTAGCGCTCGCAGGCCTCCCCGCGCTCCCATCCAGTCCGAAGTGTCCTCTCCTACCCAGGGTTCTCCTAGCGGAAGGCGGCCGGGTTCCAGTCCACACGGACAAGCGTACCCAGCGCGAGCAGCGCGCAGCCATGGCTGGGAACAGCAGCCAACAGGCGATCCACTGACCGCCCGGCTCGGCCCCGCCTCTGGCTCTACCCCGCCCCCACCTGGCATCCGGACCCGCCCACCAGCGTAGGACCCGCCTCCAAGTTCCGCCCCTCGCTCTGGAAAGCCTTGTTGCGGCTCCACCCTAGCCTCAAAGGAATCCCGCCCGCAAGAGAGAGGCCCGCCTTTGGAACCACCCCGTACGGCCGAAGCCCCGCCTCCCAGAACTTCCGGTCCTGAGAGTATTTATTTCTCCAGTCTTCCCCTTCGCTCCAAATACCGGAACACTAGAGTTGGAGAAGAGCGAATCTCCATCGCTGTTTCATTCTCTTGCGAAGAAGAGAGCCAATTAGAAAAGAGTTTGTTTTACTTGGCCTCTCAGGAGCTCCCGTCGCTTACTAATGACAACATATGCCTTTACCTTTTGATAGCCTAGCCCACTGCTTGCGTAGTTTCATTCCAGCCAATCAGAAGTCAATCTCCAAGGGAGCCTCCCCGCCCGTTGGGTAATAGCCCCAGAGTCCGGAAGTCTGGAGAAAGGGTTTCTGTCCCGACACTTACCTCTCTTCCTCCAAGGTCGGTTACTGCATCGATGTGGCCGCAGCGAGATGCTGTGTCGGGCCAAAGAGACTGCTATACCCTTGGCGCTGGGGATTTAGCTCAGTGGCACAGCGCTTGCCTGGCAAGCTCAAGGTCGTGAGTTCGATTCCCGGTACCGGAACCCCCCCCCTCCCAAAAAAAGAATATTATACCCTGGAAATCTTGTCTGGCCTCACCTTCTTCCCCATTATAGGTAAGAAAAGGGAGGGTAGTGGATAGCCCAGGTACTAAGAACAGAGTTCGGCCGCTGACCCTTGTCCAGGAGTAGACACTCGCCTCCGGCACAGAATTTAGGGGTGGCCAGAAATTCAGTAATCAAGAAAAATAATATATATTTTAGTGCACCCATCTTAAAAATAACAACCCCCAAAATTTATGAACAAAAATTTAAAAGTAGTACAGGATTCATACCTCTGATATGTTTAATGCCTCTTCCGTCTCCCCAAGGTGTCTTGTCAAATATTCTTTGGAGAAACCTCTAGCCCATCCCCCTCAAGTTCTAAGGATTTAGGGGTGTGAGTCCCCCCAGCACCCATCCTTATTTTATTATTATTATGTCAAAGGACAAAATCACAACAACTTAGCTTATCTTAAATTAGCTTTTTGAGGGGGCCTCACACGTACTAATTACTTAAGTCTTACCACTGAGCTACACCCTCAATCCCTGGCTTTATTTTTGATTCTAGACTTGGACAGCACAATTCTGTAAAATAGGATAAGTGTTCTGATGGTTGGTCTAAGTGAAGGAGCTTGGTTTTATACACAAACAAGGGCTTGAAGAAAGGGAAAACAACAAAAAGCAGATTGAGATGTCTTGTGAGATAGGGAGAGGGGAAAGAGAATGACAGGAAAATAACTGATTAGGTAACATCAGGTTATCTCAGCTTACTTCTGCTGTGTCAGGATTAAAGCAGAAAGAATGTTATTACTGTGCCACTTGAAACTAGCCTGACTGGGAAATTGGCTGATTTCTCAGAATGCCCATAATCAGCTCAGTTTCAGTGCGGTGAACTTTAAGGTGAGTGACTCCATTTTAATTTTTGTTCTGGGGGCTGGGGATTTAGCTCAGCGGCACAGCGCCTGCCTGGCAAGCACAAGGTCGTGAGTTCAATTCCTGGTACCGGAAAAACAAAACAAAACAAAATAATTTTTGTTCTGGCCTATTGAGGCCTAGTGCAGGAGTTAGTGCAAAACAATGGCCTCCTATAATGTTTAACATTTTTTATACTCCTTGTTATTTAAAAAAATTTATTATTTTAAAATTTTTATTGGAACATGTTTGCAATACATAATAATTACATTCATCATCGGGAGTTGGTACATGTGCATAGAACATCTTAATTACTTCTTGTCATTTTTGGTGATTTTTTAAAAGTGAGGTATAACATATAAAAGGTTCACAAATCATAATATACAGCTGATGAGATGTAATAATATAATCACCACCCAGACTCAGAAATACAACATCCCCAGTATCCCAGGAGACCCCTGTGCTCTACTAATCGCTCTTTTCTTATGAGAAGTACACACTGTTGTGCTGTCTAATATACCCTTATGTTTCATGCCTGTCCTACAGAACCAGGAGTAGGCTAAGGATGGCCTGCAAGACAGAGGCTGCTCATGGGCTTGTTTCACAAAACCCACAAGAGGCAGTATGTTTGGTGGTTGAGAGTATGGATTCTGAGTTCAAATCTCTCTTCTGCCACTTATTAGCTATATGACACTAAGAAGTTTGATCTCCCCATGTGTAACATGAAGAAAACAGAAGTAATTGGTTTTAAAATTAGATGAAGGAAGCCGGGTGTGGTGGCACATGCCTGTAATCCCAGAACTCAGGAGGCTGAGGCAGGAGGATCACTGAGTTCGAAGCCAGCCCGGGCTGCATAGTGAGTTCAAGGCCAGCCTGAACTACATAGTGATACCCGGTCTCAAAAAAATAAAATAAAATAAAATCAGATGAAGTAGGTAAAAATACCTGCCATTTGTGGTAAATATTAGCCATCATCATTATTAATATTGTCACCCTCCATATAACTTTAAATTAGGCTGTATGTCTCTGCAGAGCCTTAATAACACTTTATTCACTGCTATTACCTTACCTCCTCTCTCAAGCTCCAGGTACTTTGAGTAACAGAAAATGGAGCTTCAAAGAGACCAAGTTGATTTGTTTCTGGGATACCATGCTACAGAGGCCCCCAGCTGCTGCACACGCACCATTCAGGTCCAGCTCAATAACAATGAGTCACTGGTTGTATATTAGCATGGTTTTAATCTTTAGCCTGGAATACGCACAGGGGCCTTTTCTTGACATTGCTGCTAATGCATTTCAAAAGAGCAGCCATAACACGCAGCAAAGCGGCAGGCTGGGGGAGCTGACAAGCTGCCATAGCTCTGTTCCAAGACGGCTGACTGGATCCAAAACTCTGCTGTATCAGTGAGCCTCCCAGAGAGCACACTCCAAAGGGGCGACTGAGGAAAGTTTCACGAAGGAACTTCGTGCAGAGGTGTGAGCAGGGCTGTGGGAACAAAGAAGCATCCAGGGCCCAGCAGCAGCTGGAAGGCCAGGCCCTGAAGGAGCCCAAGCAGGGAGCTCTTTGGGAACTCGTAGCTGGAAGAGAGGGGGCCTGAAGGAGCTGTGGTCTGTGCTTGCGGAGGACAGAGCAGAGACAGAGTTGGGGGGGGCCTGGAGGGACAGGCCGGGCTAGGTGCCAGCAGAGCTGCTCAGGGCCACGCTGGGCACAGAAGGGCCCTCCCCAGTAGCCTGGCCTCAGAGAATGGCTTCACTGGCTTCTGCCTGCTTCTTGTCATCTACCTCCTTCACCCATTTCAAGGGCCCTCATCTGCAGGCATTTAGTTTCCCTTCATCAGGGCCATCACGTCCTTCACCCCATCCAAAGTTTTAACTGAAAAACAAGGCAATTACAAGCCCAGAAAAATGACCTGTATGTTCCCAATCAGTGATGATTTTGACCCGCCCCCGTGGGCATCTGCCTATGTCTGGGGACAATTTTTGATTGTCATAACTTGGGCTCCCAGCATCTATCTAGTAGCTAGAAGCCAGGAGCATGGCTAAACACCCTATGATACACAGGACGGCAACAAAGGATTATCCAGATGAAATGTCAACAGTGACGGCTGACATGGACTGAGGAATGGATAAAAAGGATGTGGTCTTTTCATACAGTGGAGTATTACTCAGTCATAAAGAAGGATAAACTGGAGACTTTTATAGGTAAATGGATGCAACTGGAGATCATACTCATAAGAAAAATAAACTAGACTCTACTGTGTAAACATTGTATCGTCTCCCTAGTGTGAGAAGCTGAAAGAGTAATAAGATCCAATATAACAGATATTGTAAAATGGGAAGAAACTGTTCAAAAGGAAAGAGAAACTGGTATGAGAGAAAGGAGAAAAGGAAGGGAAAAGCAAAATAAATATATATATATATGATAGTTATACTAATTTCTCTTAGTTCATTGAAAAGAAAGATTTGTGCTAATATTGCTTGGACAATTAAATGCCTATATCTTGGCTGGGGATTTAGCTCAGCGGCACAGCACCTGCCTGGCAAGCACAACGTCGTGCGTTCCATTCCCGGTACCAGAAAAAAAACAAAACCACCACCAACAAATGCCTATATCTTGTACTCAGAGTAACTAATTTCAGGATAACAATAAACAATGTATTAACCATTGTTACTCTCCTATTATCTTGTTTTCTTTGAAAAAACAACAACAGTGACGGGTGGGAAGTCCTGCCATAACTGCTCTGGCTTCCTGTCCTAGGCCTGGCCTGTCTGCCCCTTCCTTAACCTTCACCTAACAACTTCCTTGCACCCGCTCAGTTCCAGCCGCCCAGCTCTGCCTACTTTGGGATCGATCTCGGTGGTGCCCCCACGCGTTGGCCTCTTTCTGGGGTTGGCATCAGTAGCTCCCTCACATCCCCCACCTCACGCCCAGCCTACAGACTGTCACTGCCAAGTTGTCCTCAACTTCAAGCTTCTTTTTCTCACCTCACCCTCCTCCTTCTTTCTCTCCTAAGTTGATCTGTCCTGAAGACCCAGTTGCCATAGCCCCCTCGAACCCCAGCTACCTCCACATAATTTCCTCTCCCTGGATCACTGCTTCTGAACATCATGGAACAAAGCACTTTTCTACAACTAGCCAAGGTCAAGCTTAAAGCTACGTACACTCTTTTCCCAGCTCTGTCCCTGAGGTATTGGCTCCCCTTACGTCCTCTGGAGTGCTTCACCCCACGAAACATGCTTTTATCTCGCTGAGCCCGTGGGTCCTGGGAACTGCTGAGCCTGTGTCCCTCACAAGCTGCTCTGCCTGAGGAACTCAGGGGCTCTGCCAAAAGTGGCTGGCCCTGTATGTGGGGAGAGGGACATCGGGGGAGCAGGGCCTCAAACAGTGCAGGAAGTAACAGCGGCTGAGCCAGTGAGGGATATTCCTGGCACCAGGAAGGCCCCAGCCCATGGGGCTGACGCTCCTGTGTGTGCTTCTTCCCGTCTCCCAGGCGGCCAGGGCACAAACAAGATGCTGCCTCGTCTTCAGTCCCCCACCCTCAGCCCTCTGCAGGTTCAGATGGGCTGAGGAAGGAGATGGAGCCAGCTGAGACCCAGACTGGCCATGTTGCTCAGCCACCATTACTCCCTTCCCCCAGACACTCCTTGAGTGCCAAAAGACCAAACAGCATGAGCTGGCCTGTCCCGCTGCCTGCCCAAGGCCTCCATGCTCCAGGTCCATGACCCGCCACTGCACCACACCCCTGGGGCCAGGAGCAGCAGCAGGACCAGGGCTGGGCCAGGGCTGGAGCCCAGCCCTCACTGCAGCCCCACCAGCTCTGTGATCGGCGGGGCCTGCACCATGAACTCCTCATAGCGGTCGAAGAACAGCCAGAAGCGAGCCAGGTAGGAGTCCTCGTTGTACGGCAGCTGCTTCTCGCGGAAGAACTTGGACACCACAGGCTTCACCTTATTGAGATGGGTGGAAGGAGGAAGAGCCTATGAGCTGGGACTGTCGCTCACCTGTCTACGTGGTGGTGGGGAATCATCTTCCCAGACCCAGTTCCTAACTGTTTTGTCCCAAGATGCTGAGGTGAGCTGAGGGGCTGAGGTACGGAGGAACTCCTGCCTCCCCCAACCCTACTGCAGGCAAGAAAACCAGGGGCTCCCTGCGTCCCCCCATCCCCAGGGCTTCCTGCTGCATGACAGCTCCTTTGGCACAAGGGAATGAAAAGCACAGCTCTCTTTGCCAAACAGCTGCTTCATGTCAAGCACTTTAGATCTATGTATTTCTTTATTCTGTCCTCAAAGTAAGCACTGCTCCCTCCAATTTTACAGACAGGGAAGCTGAGGCTTAGAAGACTTGTCCAGAGTCTCACCACTAGCAAGAAACCTGGGTGTCTCTAATCTAAAACCCACACGGCTACACGTCCTCCGAGCCGCTCTCCCGGGTGACCTCTGACCGGGCCAGGGTTGGACAGCCTGGAGTTCTCGTTGTCCCCGCTCCAGCCCAGTCCTTATTTACCTTCAGGCACATGTTGTCCGAGAGTGTGGGGAAGAGGTGGTGCTCCACGTGGCAGCTGATGAGTGAGTGGCCGAATGCCCAGTCCAGCACCGGCAGCCGGGGCAGGTTAAGCACGCCCAAACTCATCATGTGGATCCGCCGGGGCTTCTTGTCCAAGGAGAACATGGGGAGCCCAATGTGCTGTAGCGGACACATGGGTCACACTGGGGGCCAAGCGGCCCTGGACCTGCACCCGGCCCCAGGTATCCTCACCAAGTAGGGACCCAGTAGCTTCTCTGGCCTCCAACCCTGCTCCAGCAGGACCTGGTAGAGGGATGAGGGGCCCGGGCTCCTGGTCTGTCTCGGATGCTCACCCAGTCTGTGTGTCGGGAGCTGAGTTTTGCCCTTCTCTGGGCCTCTTTGCCCATCTGGACAGTGGGGGAGTTGGCCTGGGCATCCTTTGGATTCCTGATACTCAAATGCCCACGATTACCTACCATTCATTCTCATGGTGCTATGCCTCATCCTAGAGAGACCTTAGCTGATCTTCTACCACTCAAAACCTTACTCATCCTTCCAGATCACGTCTGGGCAATCTCTGCTACTTTCCTCACTCAACAAGTAAGCCCAAGTGCCTCTGCCAGGCGCTGTCCTGGGTCTAAGGGACTTGGAAGTGAATAGGAACTTCCCTCCAAGCAGGACAAGCAGACAGGATGTAATTATGAGGTTAAGTAATGAACAGTACTTGTGCTGAGTACCAGCCTGGCGTACAGGGAGCTCGAACCTGGCATGCTCACTGACCAGAGAGCAGGGGGCACCCCTGTGGAAACAGCAGTGGAACTGGACGTGAGCCCCTGACCTCTCACAAAGTCCCCTGCCTTAATCCCCAGTAGCTTCCTCTGCCTGCCTCGTGGCCAGCTGGGCCCTCACTTCGCTTGGGCATCCACACACAGATGCAAGCACACTCGCTGGCACTGAGGAGAAGCCAAGACCTCACGCGCAACCCAAGCTCTCCGTGAGACGACTCACAGAGATAAGGTGTGGCCAAGAAGGAGGGGTCCCTCCCCAGGCGGCCTCTCTCCCACAGAGCCCCAGGTGCCAGGTGGGAGGCCTCACCTGGAAGATGTTGACGTGGAGGTAGGGGTGGGCCAGCAGACACCTGATGAGCAGCATGCAGGCCAGGGCCGAGCTGGGGCTCTTGAAGCCTGACACATTGAGAAGCAGCCAGTAGTGGGAATAGAGGCCCAGGGAAATCAGGCCCAGTGTCTGCAGAGCTGACCTCAGCTCCACCTTCCTCAGCCGCTCTGCCAGGGGAGCAAGACTCAGAGTGAGGGACGGGGGCGGAGATGGGGGAAGTTTTGCAGCCGTCCTGAACCGGCTGTCCAGTGGCCAAGGGTGCTAAGGTAGAGAGGGTGGTGTGAGAGTGTTCAGTGAATCCACACTACAGCCCTGAAAAGTGTGGTCACCCATCGGATGGATAAGGAAACAGAGCCATTAAAGAACACGAACAAGGTCAAGACCTGCCCCACACTCTTGTTCCCTCCACCCTGCGGTATTGCTCCCGTGATATCAACAGTTACAACACATGGTGTGATTTCTGCGAGCCATCTCCTGAGCCAGTGAGGTGAACCTGTGGCACGCATGCCGCAGAGGGCTGTTGGTTATCGCTGAAAGCTCTAAAAGGTTCACTGTCACCGTACACTAAGCCTTCTTAAATCTATGGCCTCAGTGTGTGTTCACACCACTCTGGAGCGGCAAATAAAGAACCACAGGCTCACAGAGGTCAAGTTACCCGCTCACAGTCATCAGCCAGTAAGTGGCACAGCTAGACTTGGACCGGGTCCGGGGCTCTTTCCACCCTGCCTAGACATGTGAGAAAGTCTCTGTTGGTCTTAGTTCTGGGCCTCTGGCTTCCCCCATAAGTGGCTTCCATGAAGCTAGAAGAAGGAAGGAGGGGCTGGGAGCAGGTTTTTGCAGGGTCCTCAGACTCACGCAGTGGCAGTACTCACCGAGAGCCACCAGAGGGGTTACAATGGGGACTAAGAAGGGTGCTAGGAACATGTAGATGTAGCGGTTGAGGCAAGGCAGCTTCCATGTGCTCGAGTCCCCCAGACCCACCACATTGGTGTAGCCATGGTGCAGCTTGACGTGGCCATGCTTCGCATACTCTGCAGGGAAGGCAGTGCATACCTGGAGGAGAATCAGAGAGGACAACAGGCGCAGGTCAGGCACAGTCAAGGGCCGCAGGACCTGGGGATGCCTCAAGAACAAGCCCAGTCTCCTTGAATCCTCCAGCCCCAGAGCCTTCCTGGCCTGCACAGACAATCAGCCTTGACCGTCATCTCTGAGGCACTTGTGACCCCAGAGAGGCAACCAGACGAAACAACTGTATCCATTTGGTATGGCTCTGCAAAGCATTAGGGGACAGGGAGGCCAGACCCTGGATTGTTCCTCTGTCACTGACCACCACCCAGATAACCTCTCAAGTCTCTGAAGCTACTATTACAGGTAAGGCTGGCAGCCCATGCAGTTACTCTGCGTGTGTTGGAAACCCCTGCACCTTCCTAACATTGCTTTGCATTCTGAGCCCATAGCAGCAAGGAAAGGAGTACAGAAGTGGCCTGGGGATTAACAGAGACCATCTCTCATCACAGTGTGGGACGTGGGTGCCATGATTGGGGGCTGAGTGAGCTTTTCCCTAAAGGTGACTCTTCTGGCATGAGGCCTGGATGGGATTCTCTGAAGCTGCTCATGAGGACTTGTGCTTTCTGACTCTCACTCCTAGAACAGTCATTCTGAATGCAAAGGAGGCAGTATGGCATTTCTTATGCATATGAATATGCATATGTGAGCCTCTTCCAATATTTTATCCAGGCCAGCAGACTTTAGTAATCTTACCAAAGATGCTGCCTGCCTGATTTCAGGACAGAGTGAAGGATTTCATAATATCGGTCTTTGGGTATAATAGGTAAGTTTAATTGTCAACTTGATTGGTTTGGGGGCTATGTAAGGGACTAGTGAAGCACATTTTAGGTGTGCCTAGGTGAGTCTTGGAGGAGTGACCTTGGGGTCTATATCTCCTCCCCTGCCCCTTCCTTTCTGCTGCTATTTCCCTGCTCTGCTTCCTGGCTGCCTGGAACTAAGCAGCTTTGTTACCCCACACCCTTCCACCATGACGCTCCTACCCTGAAGCCAGCGAACCATAGACTGAATCCCCCAAAACCGTGAGCAAAAACAAACCCTTTAACTTGTGGATGTCAGGTATTTGGTCCCAGCAACAGGAAAACTGACCAATAGGAAAACACAGCAGGACTCCTTCGCTGCGTGCTCAGTAGGTACCAGCCTCAGTGTTCTCCACTTCCACGTGCTCCCTAACCCGGGGGGTCAGTGGTATTGTTATTCACAGTTCACAGAAGCAGCAGCTGAAATAGGGAAAGGCCACCTGACCCCAGGTCACACTGCTAAGGGACAAGATTTGGACCAGGAGGCCCAGATTCCAACCAAGATAAGGATGATGCTCCTGAGATGGGCCAGCCACTGCCACAGCATGCAGCCAGGCTCTAGGTCCAGTGAACAGAAGCAAAAGCCGGAGAAAGCTGAGGAATAACACTCTCTTCATATTCTGTCCCTTGGAATGAAGCAAACTGAAATGTAGGCAGAAGCTCTACCTAAAGGACACTAAGGAGCACATGCGCAGATTTACAGAGGCCATGGGAGGATGATATCCGGTCAGCAAAGCTGTGCAGGACCCTCTGAAGACAGAGGACTCAAAAGTGAGTGCTGATTCCATGACAGCCTTTCTGCCTCAGCCAGGACAACAGGGTGGGACACTTTGCTCTCGGAGGATGCAACCCACACAAGGACAGGTTTTGCTCTCTGCTTTCAAAACCTCGCCAAGCACAGATTGTGGAGGAGGTGGCAGAGGGTGGGCAGATAAGTCAGTTAAAGGGACAGCCTCTTCCAGGCCCACTGGTCTCATGAGCCTCACACACTGGGACCACACAGTCAGTTTAAGTTAGTGCCAGAAGCCTTTAGCTGCAGGCTCAAGGAGGGCACAGCTGGGGCCTGTGGGGTCTGAGGCCCTCAGAACCAGTCCGGCCTCCGCCCAAGGCCTATTACACCCTTGGATTGTTTCCCATGTACTTGGAAGAATCAAAGGTTTGGAACTAATGTCCTCCCACGCACTCTTCCACAGGCCAGTCCTATCTGCATAGCTTCTTTTGTCAGAAGTCAGCTGAATGCAGCTATCTGCTTAGTGATAGCTGATTTTCCTTCTGGCACCCGTTCCCCATCTCACAGGCCAGCAGCCTATTGCACTTTGAGTGGCAATGCCCCAAGTGACCTGGAGCCTGGCCCCAATGGACAGTCTTGAGAAATGTCACCCTCCAGGGCCTGGGGGCTCCTCAGCAGGTTCTCACCCATGTGCTCAGGCTTGTGGCTGCTGGGAGATAGATAGGCAGTGTCCTGTGTGACATGTGATTGATGACTCTGTACACACTTCCACTGTCAGTGAAGGATTTTGCCTTTTATAGGAATAAGAAGAGAGTCAAAGGGCCGGGGATATAGCTCAGCAGCACAGTGCCTGTCTGGCAAGTGCAGGGTCCTGAGTTCGATTCCCGGTACGAGAATACAGAGATTCTAAGCTATTTCTACAACAGCGGACTTCTCACTCCATTCAGATGTTTGTTCCTGAGAAAGCAAGAAAGGGGTACAGGATCTGGAGGGGAAAGATGGGTCCTGGAGCATCTCTTGTGCCCACAGCCCATCCACCATCTGCCCATGGGCAGTGAGAAATGAGGGTCATTTAAAAGTCTTGCTGAAGAGGATCCCACATCTACACCCAGAGAAAGTTCCACAAAACTCACAGCTCCCCTCTCCCCTTCCTCTTTTTCTTCTTGCACAGTACTGGGCATTGAGACCAGGGCCTTCACGCTGAGTTACATCCCTATTCTGTTTTATTTTTTGAGATAGGGTCTCACTAAATTGCTAAGTTTCCCAGGCTGGGATTGAACTTGCAGTCCTCCTGTTTCAGTCTCCCAGAGGGCTGGGATTACCGGTTTGTGCCACCACGTGCAGCTTGGCACTGCCTCTTAAAGTCATTGCCACACTCTGTGCCTGACAAAGGCATCACAGCACATCCGTGTCCACCTTAGTCAGGCCCAGACTCTGCTGAGCATAATTTCTACAATATCTTTAGCTGAACTTCAGGGGCCCCCAACTCTCCTGTGTTCATTCTTTCATGCAATTATTCATCCACTTGAAGCATCCTCTGAGTCCTGCGGGCACTGGACCCCATGCTGGGCCTGCGGGGGATACCAGAGACAGGGCCTGGAAGGGGACAGAACCCCACAGAGCACCTGATGGGCTCACTCTGACCATGGTGAACCCACTGCCATCAAACGAGTACTCCAAGTGTCCCGTTCTGTGGCTTTCACTGCTGTTCCCCTCCTGTTCCAAGAGTGGCTTAAAGTGTGGCTCTATTCATGCTGGTCCTGCTGGACAGCTTGCCTCTCACCCTGAGGACCTGAGCTCAGGAACTTGTATCTCCCTGAGTAGGGCTGCCACATGCAGCCAGTGAAAATACAAGAATACCCAGGTAAATCTGAACTTCAGATAAACAACAGACCTGTGTCGTCTTTGGGATATACTTATAAAAAAATTGCTTATCTGAACATTCAAATTTATCCAAGCATCCTATATTTCATCTGGAAAAACTATTGCTGCAGCCCAGAAGCCCCAGCATTCGGAATCCAGCCAGGAAGGAGTTGCTCATCCTGGGGGAGTTGGCTGGGATGGGAGGAAAGGGAGCCAGGCAGACCACAGCCCAGAGTATGCTCTGCCTGAAGGATGCTGCCCTTGGGATGTCCCAACAGAGCTCTGTCCTACCTGTGCCCATCACCTCAGGAGTGGCCTCCCGTTGGCTGTGCCCCCAGCTGCAGCCCCAGCCCCTGCCCTGATGCTTCCCGTTCTTCTCCCGCTCTCCCTCCGCTAGACCCTGCCCAGGCACACCCTCTCCTCCCTCCTTCCCTCCTTCCCTCCACCCTCCCCATCCTCACCGCTCCTCTCTCAGCTGCTCTCTGGCCTGTTACCCGCCTCATTAGCCTCAAATCCAGCAGAGGGACCCAGTTACAACTAGCTTTGGTTGCACCATAATCTTATGTTTTTAAATACTGCAGTATACTGTTTACTTAACAAACACAATAAGGAGAAAACTTTTAAAGAAAGATACAAAAGAGACAAATAACCCCCATCATGTTCCAAAAGGAAAATGGGCAGCCGAGGACCAGGAGAAGAAAAAGACCTATCCCTGTACCTTCTGAATTCTGACTTACAGAAACACATTACCTATTTAGAAAGTAAAATAGCTTTAAAAACTGCCAACATAATCCAAGTATGGTGGTGTGCACTTCTAATCCCAGCATTCAAGAGGCTGAGGCAGGAGGATCACAAGTTTGAAGCCAACCTAGGCAACCTGTTGCAAAATCGAAATCAGAAAACCTACCCAGGTAGACACTATTTCTTGCCACAGTTCAAAGTCCCAGGCCCTCTGCCTGGAACACGGGCCTCCTTGCTCCCCTTTCTCCAGGAGCCCTGTTAGATTCTAGGGACCCTAGATTTCTGAGGGTCCTCTGCACACTGCGCTGTCTCCCAGATCCGTGCCTCTGTCTGAACATCTTCCCTGTGTGAGACCACCTGCTGCATCTGAGGGCCACACTGCCATTCTGGAAACTCCCCAGGGTTTTCCGGCCTCCGCACCATCGGTGTTTGGAGTTGAGTCATCTTCTGTGTGGGGGCTGTCCTGGGCCTTGTAGGAAGTTTAGCAGATCCTTGGGCTCTGCTCAGTAGCTCCTACACTAACACACATGCACACACATGCCAGCTGTGACAGCCTAAAGTGTCCCTGGACATTGTCCAGTGTCCCCAGCACGCGGCCCTCCCTGTCTTCACGGCACTAAGATGATGCCTTAGTCACATTCTGCTGTCCTGGTCCCTGGCCACCCCATATATCATCTGTGCAGCCTTGAGAAAGTGATTTAATGCCCCACACAAATGAGTGTTTCCACACGTCCAAAACAGGTGGGCTCACAGGGAGACAGGAGTGTTAAATGAGATGATGCATGTCTAGGACCCAGTAAGCAGCCAGCAAGTATCAGCTGTTACAATCAGCGTGTGTGTGTGTGTGTGTGTGT